TCCTTTTATTCCATGAAGGGTTTGAATGGGATTGAGCTGTGTACATGTGAGCCTGTGTGTGTGAGTGACGTAGTGATTGCTGAGGGAAGTTTGAACTGCTCAACCAATTATAATTTCATGGATTGATTGAATCTTCCTATGAATCTGTCTCCTTTTATGTGGATTGGGAATTGGAGGGTTTTTTGACATTTGATTTTTGGGTACTCCTGTTGGTATATGCGTGGTTCTCTCATGACAAGATTTCCAGCTAGCAAGTGTTGCTCCCTGCATTAATTTCTAAACTGTGTGGATTGAAAGGGCATATTTGCTGGTGTAGTCTTTTTTTATAGGTTTTATAAACCACTTGAGCCTATATCAGCTTTTTAATGTTTGACCTCTGTTTTGGAGCTCTCTGTAATGTGTTGGTTTAGATAAGGACTTTGGAATTTTTGTTTTGTTTTTTAGCTTCTCCAATAACTCAGCTAATTGGCTTCATGATGGCAGCTTCTATTCTGTTGAGAAACCAAATTGATTTGAAATTAATACTCCCTGCAAGTGTTTGAGGTAAACACAAACTGGTGCCAAATACCAATCTTTCAGGAATGATTGTTAATTATGTATAGAGGCACAGTCCTAGGTACTGTAGCAAAGATGTTAAACAAAAAAAATAAAGCTTTGGTTTGCCAGTTTGACTGACTTGACTACTGTTTCATGTTTTCTGCTGCCCTTCTTGTGCTGCTGTCAGAAAAGTATTCTGAACTGCTGGCCTTTCATCTTCCTTTCTGTAATTTTGTTTTAAATAATTTCTGCTGAAATAACTAGCATTATCCCAGGTAACTGTAGCTTTTGTACATAGATGTTTCTGTTTCCACTAGGTTAGACTAAACCCATCCAAACACAGAAGATCTGGTGTCTGTGCATGGTTAATTCAGAGGTGTTTTGGGGCCTCACAGCAGCTTGTTTCTTCTGGCCTTTGTGGTTCTGTCATCTCAGGTCCCACTCTGTAGTACCTTGAAGGTCCTGGCCTGTATGTAAAGTAATATTTTTGTCTTGAATAAGCAATTCCTAAATCTTTGTGGTGGGTCAAGGACTGCAATTTGAAATGTCAACCTTCTAATGGTGCTAGGGCTGTTGCTGATGTGTAGCAGGTGAGTTTCAAGCTAAGCACAAGCAGGAAGTAGACTCCAGCTTCTGCCAGGTGCACCTAGGTGACCCCATCCCTGCTGGTGCTGCCTGATAAGCACCCCCTTTCTGGCCTGCACGCCCTGGGGAGGAAGCCTCGCTGTATTTACGCTCGTACCCTCTCCTGTTAGCAATAGCTGTACGACTGGCAGAGTTAACAGTACTTAGGACCTACGTCTGTGTTGGCCGATGTCTGGCTCAGCCCTTCAGCTGGAGGGCATGTCGCTGGATTGTCCGCCCGCTGTTCCCCGCGTTGTGCGCAGGCGGGGGCTGGTGCGCATGCGGCCTGGGCCGGTGCCCCGGAAGCAATGCG